AACACTTGTATGTAATCCAATAATAATTTCCCCTAAAGAAAAATCAGAGGTGGTTACTGGTCGATCTCTTGCCTCTCTGTTTAACCCCACTGGTCTAGTTAAATTGTCCTGGCTGCGGTTGCTGCAGAGGTTTTCTGCTGGCAAAAACAAACTGAACAAAAATAATGTCCAGCATCTTCTATCTAAGACAGTGAGAAGCAGCAAACTCTGTATCCATATGATGTTGCAGGGCAAATGGTAAGTAGGTTAACTGTTACTGTGTTCCCACAATTCCCTCGAACTGAGAGAGACGCTTTGGTGCAGTACCATGATTCAGTACTTAAAGTCAATATTGCAATTTAGTTATTAAAAGTGAAAGAAGAGCAAATTTGCTCCGCAAAAGGCATCTAAAGATGCAGTCTCCCAAAGGACCAGGCCTGAAATTACTTAAATCATACCTCCCATCAAGCATGAAGATATACAAGACTCATTGCTAATTATTGGTCTTAAACAATTAGTAAGACTGGAGGCTAAATAAATAAAGATGGGTGATTGAAGGGAACGAGGACTTAACATATTAGAGTTGACATGTGATGGGTTGTTATGTTCAAACATGCACACGGGTTGACAGAAGGAAGTCACTCACACAAATACTCAACCGCCTCTATCAATGAGTCCTCAGGCCACACGTGTGAAATATGCAATGCAGCAGGCAGGAGGAGTGAAGGGTTTTTGTTGAGCACTTCTGACCTGAGGAAGCAGAAAACAACATAAACAGTTATGAATGTGTATTCTTAAGAATTGCTAAGCAGTTGCTGAATGTAAAATTACCCAAATCATTCACATGATATAGTCATTGCTTTATCTATTACAAAGGGCCATTTTGCAACACCCACACCAGTAACCCACGATCCCCGTCACTCTTGTCCACTTTGTCCCCACCTACCCTTGGGAGTCTCTGCACCTTTACCTGCTGACCTCTTTCAAAATGTCAGTTTCTCTCCTAGACTGTGCTGCTTGTTTTACAGATCCCTCTCACTCTGCTGCGAGAGGTTAAGGTTACTTGTTATGGAGGTAAATCTTACAAACCTATGAATTTCTTTTATCTGTCTTGCTCTTGTTTTCTTCCTTTTTCTCTCTATATATATTTTGTTCTCATCCTCAGTATCTAGAATCACTTCATGTTCTTGCTTCATTCATTTAGTTATTTTGCTTTTGCTCATTTAAAAAAGCAGTGTTTGAGAATCAAGTGCTTGATGTTAACGATAAACCTGACTTTTAAGATCTGATCCTGTGTATTTTGGGAGATAGTTCAGTGTTTGTTTTGACAAGAAATCAAGTCATTATGCAATCCCAGAATGATGCCAGTTAATATGTATCTTGGCTTACTATTGCATGATTAAGCAAACAAACATTTAACAATTTATGTCTAAGTCTAATTTAATCGTTATGTTTTTACTTCTGTCTTCAATTTGTAATCCAGTCAACAGTTATCCAGTTATTGACTTATGGTTGTTTTGCCTGAGGTATGTCTGAGGCAGAATATATCTTTGTAAGATAGGGCCAGTATATATACAAATATATATATGTATGTCAAATTATTATTATGATACTCTGTATAGACTTTTAGATTTAAATGCCCATTCGTAGACTGGTGCCTAAAGGAAAGTATTTATAAGGAGATGACATCAGTGTTTGGTGTTTCTCACTTTTTTCCCAGGATGTATGGATAGACTGTCTCTGCTATGTTGGCTGCTGGTGATGGTCAATCACTAATCAAAAAGATGTTTTGTCTTTACGTTTCCCCAGGTTACGGCACCAGGCGCACAAAGAGCTATATGCATACAAACAAGTAAGCACTCCAGTGACACACACACACACACACACACACACACACACACACACACACACACACACACCCCTGTCCCAAAAGGTCTGTTCAGCTGTTGCAGTAATTATTTTGCCTCTTAAGCTGCAAGTATCTTCAAGGGTTCTGCTGCTTAATGGATTTAAACTATTTCAAAAATCGTTAGGGGTATTTGGCAAGCATAGCTGTAATACCAAATATTCTCAATTACACTTGAGCTGAAGGGAAGCTGAAGTGGCTCTGCTGGAAAAGTGTGGTTCACAGTTACTGGGGGCTTTCAGAGCTGTGGGTGTTTCAGAAAGTGGGGGCGTTTCAGAGCTGAGGGTATAGGCTGAAAAGAGGGAGTGACGGATGACTCTCATATCCTGCAATTATGCAATAACAGCATTCAAAGCCACCTAGGCATTTCAGAGTTGGTCATGTGTGCACACACACACACACACACACATTCTGACATTCTGACATGGTAGGTGCTAGAGACATCACCAAGTGTTATAACTGAAGTATTTTTTGCTGCGTATATTATTACCTGCCAGCTAAACTTGCCCAAATCCTCTGTGGGTTATGTAAGACCATCAAGCTCATGAAGTACACACACAGAGACACACACACACTTGCTAGCAGCTATGTTATGGTAAATCCTATCTTTTTTATGTCCTTTATTTGGCCTCACTGGTCGATTTCTCATCACACACTAGTTCTATCTGTTTGTGGCTAATCTGTCCCTGTCTCTTATTGTCCCTCTCAGGTCATTCAGAAGGAAAAAGTCAAAGAGCCAAATTTGCATGAGGTAAGCACTCATCTCCTTTCTTTAATTATTATCAGTTGATGACACTTGAACTGCAAAAAATGTTCCTTATAACAGACAGAATACCTAGAGGGCAGAACATACTGTAATGTAGCTTAACAAGTAGAGACCGTACTGTTATATCACCCAATTTTGGACGAACTGGTCATGAGTTACTTAATTTCAATAAAGCTTCAGGCTTAATGTTCTATACACTTACTGTAGGTTATCCTTTCTTGGTTGCGTAATAACAAGGAGGCCCATAATGTGCTCGGCCCTCATTGATTTAAAATAAAGTGCTTTGGCCTGAGACTCTGAAAGGGCAGTTTAGGTATCATGACCATGAAGGTCATTAGCTTCAAGATGGACTATAAAAGCCTCTAAAAGGTACGAATCACTGTTTTGTAGTTTGCATCAGAACGGAACGTATGTGTCATGTTTGAACATCTCAAGGCTACTGTTTGGGCAATCTGTGCAGCTCTATGACTTCAGGGTTTCTGGAAATGTGTGGGCCTTTGTTTTCAGCTGTTTCATTGGTTTTACCTTGTTTTTGCAAAACATACACACATTATCTTTCATTTAACATTGAGCCAATTTGCCTTGACACAGCGTCATGTGAAAACAAGCATCTTGTGGTCCTCCCTAGTTTTTTCTGTTACTGTTACGTAATGCTGTGTGTCAGCTCAGCTTGGTTGGAAAATTATAAGCAGCCAAAAGCATGTAAAGTAACAGCACTCGCTCCACAGCAGAGAACTTTTCATCGCTAGCCAAGAGCACCATCCATTTGACATGGCAGTGCAAGTATGATGTCACCAATACACGGTGAAACGCAGTTTATCAACAACAGCGTTGGAATTTCTCAGTGTCCCTTCAGGCTTTTTATTATTTATGTTATGTGTAACTGATAGAAAGCATCAGTGGGTGTCATGTGAGTGAAGGCCGTGACATAATAACCAAGCTGTGTTTTTTTTTAAAGACAATAACATACACACACCCACCTGGCCGCATGACCCAGTTTTAAAGACTCCCACACCAAAGGATCTGCACAGATTCTGTCTTTTACAGGAGTACGTAGAACAAGAGTGATAAATGGGATCAGTTTACTGCTAAAGCCATGTTCAAGTTTGAAGTGGAACCTGAGCAGTCAGGAGTTATGAGATCACTGTTCTTTTTTTAGTTTGAGTTTGACCCCTGCCCTCCTTTAACTCACTCATAGGATTTGTGCAATGAATACTGTCGTAAAAAATGTCATACAAAATGGCATCAGAGTTTACAGTAGCTGCTTATTGCAGTTAATCACAGTCTCAGTTACAAGCGTACATGTGCGTAAACAGTCTGCACATGCCGCAGGTACTCAAACAACCAGGAAATACTTTTGTTTAAAGAATTATGGTAATATTCAACTGATGGTGCTCTAGAAACGAGCGGGGCATTTTTTTCCTCTCATTTAGTTTGGTCTTGCAGTGTTTTCAGTGTCTGTATTACCTATAGACAGCAGGTAATTATTAATCAGCTACTTTGACCAACTGCTTTAATTGTGAGCATGAAGGAGATGTTAAAAGGCACAATCCAATAATTTGATTTTCCTTATATATTATTATCACTATACTTATATTATTAAGTTCAGAAAATATGAATCAATATGTGGTGATGTAATAGAAAAAGGCTGGCAACAGCTCTAGTGAACATGTAACAAATTTCTTCAAATGTGTTAAAGACACTTTGACTCACGGATTAACTGAGTAAAATTTGATGGTCCACGGTCAAGGTCATGATAATTTCACAAAACCTACGTCTTGTAAAGGTGTTATCTTCAGAGGGCCTCATGAAAATCATAGTAATTGTGGCATTTTGAATGTACACATTGGTGACCCTAAAGTAAGGTTTAGCAGCTTCATATGTGTGTGTGCTTCGACAAAGATTTCAGGCGCTTTACGTGTCCTGTAAGCCTGAGTTACGTAAACGTTCTCTCACCAGAAATATTAGTGTGTGGAAACAAAAACATGGACGCAAACAGATTTGGATCTGAAGACAGAGAAAATGAGAAGCACTGAGTTGTAATTTACTTGGTAATTATTCTTTATGCAACAGAGAGCAATAGGAAAGTGAGTGTGACTGATATAGAAGTGTTGCCATGGAGACAGGCAACATGTCCTCATCATTCGAGATCTAGAGGGAGAGGACACATTGGTCTTAACACACGTTAGTTAACTAGTATCTATTCTTACCACTTATTTTTTATGTGGATTATTCTGAGCCTTTTACTCCTCTCTTCTTTTCACTCTTACTTTGTTGCTCAGTTCAATTTGGATCAATTGTTTTTTAAGACTGTTACTTTATAACTTATTTGGTCTCAGCATTTGTTTAGTCACTAACTTGTAAATCATGTTTGGTGCTTGACATTGACAATATTTGATTCCTCTGAACCTTGAATCTTAACATATTAGTCTTGATGGGCATAGGTTAACTTTTTAACTTTGATCAAGTTTGTGATCTTGTAATGATTTTCCACAAAATTAAGCTCATGTTTTTGGCACCGTCTTTGACTAAAGCTTACAGGATTAATTGATTTAATCAGGGGGAAGAGCTTCAGTCAAAAGTTGGCAAAAGGTTTCGGACCTCAACTGTGAGTGAGACATCGCAGACAAGGCACTGAACAAAAACACGGATCTATTCACCAATAAGAGAGCAAAGCAGAAGTCTTTACAGAGGATCGCTCTGTGTCCGAAAGTCCTCAGGATAGAAAGCTAGGAGCCCACATGCTGCTCTTTTTATCCTCATTTGTTCGTCCACTCCCCATAAAACAGAGCTGAGAAAGAGAAAATCTCTGTGGCTAAAAGGAAATTAAAAGCCCTCTCATGAAAGTGTTACCCCTGACCCTGGATGAAGTTTAGTTTGAGGAGATTTCCTGAAATATTCTCAACTTCACAATGAAGTTGCATGTAAAGATTCTCACCCTGTTTTATCACCGTCAACCAGCAGTTTAGTGAGTGCATCACTTGCTGCTCTGTTGTTTGTTTCAAGCTTTTGTACATGTTGGCCTATTGTCTTCTTCCACCCGTGCTTGACCTTTGCTAGTTGGATCATTTGTTTCGAACCGACAACACAAAACTTGGATTAAGACAGAGAGTGCCAAACACTGGAGAGGAGCCAACATATTTAAAGATGTTGCACCGCCTTCTTCTGAAAATATCTCTGACTCCCCCGTCTCCCTTTCAGATATGTGCGGTGTGCTTGGAGGAGTTCAAACAGAAAGATGAGCTGGGGATTTGTCCATGTAAACATGCCTTTCACAGAAAGTAAGTATAAGGTTTTGTTGACTTTCATGTACATGCACACACACACACACGTACAGCGAAAGAAGGAGAGCGAAGGACAAATCCTAACCCACAGTGAGACGATGTGACAAAAATGACATTTCTGTGGCTACAATGAAGAAAATATTAATCTGGTTTAGTGTTAAACCACAAGAACAAAAAGTGAATATTTATTATTATGTATATGTGTGTATGAAATTAGAAACAACACAGGACATGAAAGATTGAGCCAACTTCATCGCACACCTCCCCCTGTGTCCCAATCATTTCAACTGAGTTGTTTATATCAGCATGACACCTCCCTTGGCCTAGTTTTTTCCCCCAGTTGCAGCAAGAGTGGTCACTGCTCAGTGAATCTACTGTATAAACACTGCTTTTAGTAAGTGAGTGAGTGAGTGAGTGAGTGAGTGAGTGAGTGAGTGAGTGAGTGAGTG